AAACCACAGTGAACAGCAAAGGCAGGAAATAACACAGTAGGACAGGATGTGGAAGGGGTCTCATGGCCCAGGTGGGGCAGGAAGGGGACGCACCACCAGTTCCATGACGCCACAGTCGAGATCTGGGTCATCTTTTGATGCTCCTCTACACCCTACCGCAGAAACCACTTCCTCTGGAAAGTGGAGCACAAAACAGGGGGTGGGGGGAGCAGGGCTGGTGTGGCACGTGGCAGGGAGGGGGAGAAGCGTGTGGAAAAGCACAGCAGACGTTAGACCACAAGCCAAAGCTGAATGAGGTTAAGGCACCCTCCCTTCCTGCCCCCTCACCACACCCTGGTCTTGGGTCTGGGGGGAGTTGTTTTGGGTACAGCGGGAAAGATTGAGCTATGTATAGCATAGGCAGAGGAAAGGAGGGGAGAAAATACATTATAAAGTGCAGTGGGTGGCGGGGAAAGATCTTAGAAGTGTGTAAGATTTCTGAATTTGCTGGTAGGCCTCTGCACCCTGTTATACAGTCAGTGAATCCATGCAGAAAAGTCATTTCACTTCTCCTGACCCAAAAGAGAAGGGAGGAAGATGGGGCAGGCCAGAGAGTCCTCTCACATTGGGAAGGAGATGTTGCCAGGGCCCCTAGAGAGGGTCCATCTCTAGCACCCTCTCCCCTATGCCAGCTCCTGCTCCCTAATACCTAGCTATGGGTAGGAGATGAATTTGCATCTTTTCTAGGAGTTTTGTTGGAGAAAACATCCTGCCAGACATTTGTCACCTCTCATTAAACATGGCCCTGTACATGAAACAGCCCCTCTTCTTGCCCTCTTCTACAGTGTGAACAGGGACCTGAGCATGACCTTTATAAAGAGCAGAGTTTGAAGAGATCTACACACTTGTTGAATAATCAGACGTGGATAGCTCTATAGGACCTGAATTCTAGTGCTGAGTTTTTGGCAACTAGAGGCATTGCAAGCTGGTAAAAATCAGGAAAAAAAAGAAACCCCACAGAAAACCCACGGTTTTTCCTTCTCCAGAGGCTCCCGTGCAGTTCTTAGAAGGGGCCACAGGAGGGTCCCAGCCTGAAGCTCTCTCTAAAGCCACACCGTGGGGAGACCGAGTCACACAGAGCCACAGGGAGGCAGCTGCAGCTTGCAAACAGCAGCAGCGGCAGCGGCAAAGGGGAGACCCTGAGCTGTTCCTCCTGTCAACGTGCTGGCTCCGTCTGCCACGGGCCTAGCTCACAGAGGGCCCTTCTTATAGGAAAGAAGAGTTCGGTGGCTCATTTACAATCCCTACGTGCTGTCGAGTCCCCTGCCCGCTCCCCAGCAGTACAAAGCTGGTACCATTGTAAACAAACGCAGCTTAATGCCTGGGGCTGGAGGGAGGTGGTGGTGTCAGAGCTGACATGAATTCTGTGTTCCTACCACAGACCCAGGCAGCATCCTTTGAGACAGCACAGACCCTGCTCCCTCATACCTCACTCTTCAGACCCTGTGTTAGGCAAGAGACTGAGAAGACCCACGTTTCACACTTTTATGGGTTTAATGGCTGCAGCACAGCTAGAAATGCTAAAAGGGAAAAGGTGGTAAACAGGAGCCATAATCCAATGCTGAGAGGTTGAAGCTACCAGACCCCATGTTTTATTTCCTGAGTGCCAGCAGACAAGCATTTTTTTGTCACGTAGCCTCAATGCACATTTTACCTATCCAGTGTTTCAGCTGCAGAGCAAACCAGACAAGTGTGAAGCAGGATCAGCACAAGGATGGAGCCTCATGCATGAAGGTAACCCAGGTAAATTCTGCAGCCAAGGGTGCGGAGGGGCTAGCTGGGGTTAGTAGCTTGTGCTGGGCCCATAATCTGGTCACCACAAGGCTCTAATTTTCCATCAGGACAAAGAAGCATTTGACCTCAATGCAGGAGCTAGCCTGGGCTACAGCCAAGGGCCAAAGCCATTGAGTTTAAGCATTTCACAGTGCTTTGGAGGGGGAAGGATTTTCAATGAGGTTAAGTCTGAGGGGTGAGCTTCTCCATGGACCCAGAACAGCTCAAGTGCAGCTCTGTCTGAGGCACTGACACAGCTTGGCAGCCCCTTCCAACATCCTCAGGTTGATCAGCATACCAGACTGAAGAAAAGCTAACATGGTGGTAGGGTGGCTGTATCACTACCAGGCCTTAGTGAGGCTGTAAGTCCAGCTGGGACGTTCAGCTCTGCCCCTTATGCCTTTGAGAGATACGGGAGGGCCTGTGGGAAGATGGGTACACCTGGGGATGTGCTGGAGGACACCCTTCGCTTCCTTCTGTTCATGACTGCTAACCACAGCCTAACCCAAATTTTCCACAGCTTTGAAGCCTGGGGGCACGTTGGCAATATACTTTCCATAAGATAAAGGGGCAGGAAACAGGGAGATGAAAAGGGTGGATGACAACTGAGTTTCCATGACGACTTGTTTCCTGCTTCCCTCCAAAACTGGGGCACAGAAAAAAGTCTGCCGGGTAGAAAGGGAGGGAGGGAGGGAGGGAGGGGGGATAAAAACAGGGAGTTGTGCCTCAGAGGGAACTTGGGTGTCAGAAGAACCTCTGTATTTGTCACCAATAGGGAAAAGACTGCAGTATTATAAAGGGTTTTATTGACAGAAAGGATTACAGTAACTGTAACGAGGCAGCAGACCCCTCCATAGGGCAGTCTGTGGGGAAAAGTCTTGAGCTGTGCATCCGTGCGCCCCCTTCCTCCACCAAGGAAGTAGGTCTGCTGGGGAACAGCACCTCCCAATGCCAGGCTTTGGCATCAGAGCTCAAGAGCAATTCAAGACCTGGAAAGAGAGAAAGGGAACATGAGCGATGTTTCTGCAAAGGGAAGAGGAAATACCCCACAAGCTCCAGTGACCTTGTGGCCCCTAGCAACAGTAACAACAGGGCATGTCCTCCACTTTCCAGCACCAAACTCTCCCTGTTCCAAACTCCCTCCTTGCATCTGCTGAGAAACTTGAGGCTTGGACACCAGCCATACCGTGGCCTCCAAATAGAGCCCAGGACTTCCAGCTCCTAAAGCCCCTCCAGCAAAATGGTGTATTTCTCTTATAAGTGAGAAACACTCCTAGTTAAAGTGCCTTTTAAATGATAAAAGCCAAAAAGTACATGCACAAAACCAGAAAGCTGTAAGTTGTAACCCTGTATCAACCTAGAGGACAACAGCTTAACTGTACTTGGCCAAGACGAAGCTAGGAGCTACGACTCCTGGCTTCACTATCAGTCTAGTTCTCTCCCAACTCTACAAAAGTACTGAAGTCGTGTGAGCTGTGGTTGCCCCTTTTGTGACCCCATGAATCAGTACCTCACAGTCTCTTCTAGAGTTCAGCCAACAAAATTGATGACGACAAGATGGAGGATGGTGTTGGCAAAGAGGAAATCAGCAAATGCCCGCTCCGGTGAAATGCCTTGGAACTCGCCTTTGTTCTGGGGGTTGATCTGGATCCGGAGACAAACTGCATGGCAGAGAAAGAATGAGAGATTAGGGATCACAAAAGGAAGTCATGGTGGGAAGCAGAGTCTTCCTGGGGCAGCCCACCCCAGTCTGGGTCACTGTTCCACCAGCCTACCACAGGAAGAGGTAACTGTCTTTATTGTAAGATGAGCAGGACACCGGCAGGGGATTTGCACAGGGCTTTTACACAATCAGCTCTCCCATAACCCTACACCATCCGGGGGGTCAAGTGAGTCCCGAGGGGAACAGGCTTATAACAGGATGGGACTCACATAGAAACGGGGATATTCCTATGTTCTCCATTGGGTGTGTTGGGGAGGGCTGCACAGATGACCTTAAAGCTCTTTTCCAGTCTAAAAGATTCTATGATTCTGAGGCTGTTTTGAGGGCTGTTGTGGGAGAGCAACACCATTGCTACAGTCTGGATTTCACCATGGGATGGTTGCTAAAGAAGGACACCAATACAAGATGGTAAAAGGGAGGGCTCCTTGACTGCCAGGGAGAAGCAAGCGCACCCTGGGGCTGATAAGGAGCCAGGCTCTGTGGTGCATACAGGCGGGACCCTCGCAGGTTCACAGTCGCTGTGGAGCATCCTGCTGCAGGGTGGGCTGGGGCAGGAGCCTGTGGGTTTCTGGGAGCAGAGCTGGGCGTTGTGGGGGAAAGGGGGGTGCTGGAGGTTGCCATGAGGACTCCCTGGCTGGCGGGGTAGGTTTGAGGGCTGCTGTTGGTGACTCCCCGGGGCTGTTGGGGAACACCTGTGGCTGCTAAGGGAACCCCCTGGTTACTACAAGACATCTGGGTGTTTCTAAGGCAACTCTCTGACGGCCGGGGCCCTCTGGGCGTTGCTGGGGGCTCCGCCGTCGCTGGGGGAGGCTCAGGCTTCGCTACAGGGAGTGCGCGGCTGCGAAGGGGATTCCAGGGAGAACCGCGCGGG